GTCACCTCACATCCCTTCGCACCACACTCCATCACATGGCGGACGATGCCCATGGCGGCACGGCGCACCTGCAGGTTACTCAAGAGCTTAAAGCGGAGTGACTCGGCCTGCGCCATGGCGGAGAGGCCACGCACCTCCACGCGCTCGGCGTACAGCTGCAGTTTACCCTCCTTGTAGTGAAACCGCTGCTGCAGGCACGCCGTGAGCTCGCGAATGCGGCGCCCCTTCTCCCCGAGCACCTCGCGCGTCTTGGTGGCACGGATGACAATTTCGGTGCGGGTAGACGTGATGCGGTGCTCCACGCCAGCGAAGCCGTCGTCGGCGAGTTCACGCTTGAGGAACTCAAACAGTTCGGCGTAAAACACGCCATCACGGATGATCATACGCTTCTTGGAAAGGGGTCCCATCCTTGTTAGCCCACCAGTGTGTTGTCCCTTTGACAGTCCACTTGGGAAAAGAAGGTGCAACCAAAGTGAATGAAAAAGGAAAATGGATTACAAGGCGTGTAGGTCCGGGCACGCCCATACAGAGCAAAACAAAGAGAAAGAGGGAAAGTAACGAGCGCGACCTGTGCCTTTGTGCCGTATGGAAGGACCACCGCCACCACCACAAGCACGTAAGTAAAAAAGCAAAATAATAATAATAACAAAAAAAAGGGAATTCAAAGTAATTTTTTTCATGTCCACAAATTCATCCTTGTTATATATATATATATATCCCTTCTTCATTATCGTTTCCTCTTGGATCACACAAAGTCCCATTCCAGTCCGCCGCCTCCTCATGCGGTGTAGGACAGAATGACACGGTCCCTCATTGGGCACCCCGCCGAAGTTACAGGATGTCGATGCGTAACGACGAAACCAAGCTTGCGAAGGGCCGCAAGCGCCGCTTCAACCGCCTCCTCACTTGTGGTTGCATCATCAATAATCAACTTGGCGTTGCTTCTCACCGCCGCAAGCTCCTGCTCTGACTTCGCCATCGTGCACGGCCCTGTGGCCCTGTCAATACTGCATATCTCCTCCGCCTCGACCCGCGCCAACACCTCCGGATGGGCAAACTCCTGAAAGACCGCCAAGTACATCGCTAGGTGTTCTCCTCGCCCACGTACACATGTGGGGAGAAGTAAATAATAATAACAATAATAATAATAATAAAGGGGAAAAAAGGGTGGGAGCAGGTGCTGAGAGAACGCAATGAAGTAAATGCCCCGCTATGATTCGCTCCAATAGGCAGAAACGTTGAGGGTATATAAAACGTCAGCGCCGTGGCAACGAAGCCAATGCACGATACAAAGACAGCGTTGATCAACGCGAACACACACTCGCACGAATACAGCAAAATACAAAACAAAATATAAGGCCTGTAAGATTAGTACAAAATAAAAACGTTAAAAGAGAGTGCTCTTCTCAGCCAAGAGGGACAAGACACCAGAAAGCATCATACCTAATCCATGAAGCAAAGACAAAAGCTCCGGCGACACAACAAACCCAGTTAAACATATTTCTATCTCTCTCTCTCTCTTTGTCTGTGTGACTACCTACCTGCGTGCGTGTGGTTGCAAAAGTGCGTTTACGGGAGCAGGTAGGTAATCCATAACATCAAACAACATCATCTCACATATCCAAATACTTACAAAATAAAGTTAATGATAAATAACATATCACTTCCGCTGCCTCCATCCTCCCACGACCACCGTGACAGTGCTTCGCTTCTTCCTTCAGCCCTCACCTTCTTCGCTTCCTTCCACCTTCCATTCACATACTGTTTGTATTCCTAGCGGACTCGCTAGACGGAGAAACATAAATGAGGGCGCTCGTATTACAACGCACAGTTTGTAGCGCCTTTGGACAAGGTGAACGTTTAGCAATAGAGACAGATCCACCAAGAAGACCGCGGCTCACTAAACATCAGCAGCAGTTGATGCGGCAACCGTGTATGGCGCCATTCCGGGAGGAAGCCCCGTCACCGTGGCACATGCAATGGCTCTAACTACTGCGCAAAACCCCGTTGTAGTAATCACGCTGTTGCTCTCAATCCTCTCGGAAACAAGTTGTTCACGGCTCACATAGCTGTCACTGTCAAAGTGAATATCGGGCACCAAACTGGATGAATGCCGGCCGCAGGGACCACGGCAGCAGCAACGCTTACAGCACGTGGCGAGAATCCAACCCAACAGCTCTTCTGTGTAGAGGAAAAGTAAAACATTCACCACAGCAGTAAATGGATACATAAAAGATATCAACGCTGATAGATAAAATTCTACAATAGAAGCAGCATATGACGATGAAAACGCAATGACGAAGCGCTGCAAGGCACCAAGAAAGTATACTAAAGTTGGGTAGGCAGAGAAAACTATGATACGCCACAGTACAATCGGATGATCGCGCAGCAAGGAAGGGGAAGAACGTCGCAACGTAGTGTACGCATACACCGCACTAAAAAAAAAACCATCGGCCAGGCGTATGCTGCAGCTAATTGCAGCAGCACTAGGACAGACTTTTGCCACAGTGCCACCGGTGGAGAGAGGTCAGCAGCAGTGGGGATCCAGCACCATGCAAGCTTCTGCGAAAAGAAAAGCGTATTCTCCACTGTTCGAGACGCCTCCAAAGGTATACCATTATTATGTGACACCACCACAATGTCTAGCACATAGAGCAGCAATATCCAGCACAAAAACAGTAAAACAAAAGCGTACACAAAGGCAACCACGTAAAACTTCCATGTGAGACGTAGCAGAGTGTAGTGCTTAGGATGCGCTGCTGCCGTCACATCACCATCGTCATCGTGTGACACCAACGGCGACTGAAGCACGGATAAAGATGCCGATGTGCCAGAAGTAGCAGCAAAAATTGTATTATTGGCGGCACCATTATTACTACTGTTACTGCCATGATTATTCCCCACGGCTCTATTGGTGGCAAGCGAGCCATCTCTACAACAGGAAAAAAAGCACCTGCAGCAAGAAGGAAACAAGGATGAAAAACCCGGTCCCGTTGCTTCGCTCTGTCTGAAACACAGACATCGTCGTTTGGAACGAGCATCACTGTGGTCAGGAGAAGATTGCATTAAGGAAGACGTGTTGCTTACTCCGCTACTGGCATATCCATGTTCCCATAAAAAAAGGGCAGTTCCATGGGTTTCACCCTCACCCGTACGAAAAATTCGCCCGTCGTCGCTGTTGTCCAGTTGCTCCAGCGAGAAAAGACGGCGACTGTTGGCCAGCACAAGAAAGAAGATCGTCTGCAGCACCTGCAGCACCGCGTCTAGGTACTGGTGAAGCGAGGCATTAATGTTGCACATTGCATACGTCATGCCAGAGGGCGAACAGCTTCCCGCATCTAGGATGCGTTCCCCGCGCAATACCGTCATGAAAGAGAATATGAAGAGCTGCATCGCCTGCACCACCTGCACTACAACAACCACAACAAAAACGTCATTAAATACACTGCGAAGCGCACTTGAATAAAAAAATCCAAAATATTGAACAAAAAGGAAAATACCCGCAAACGTCGCCAACACCGCCGCCGCCATGCACATAATGCAGTTCAACCTTGTCGCTGAAGAGTAAGGCAGGACACTGCAATTACCCGGCGGAGACATTTTGTTCACAAAACCATCGCCCATCAATAACGGCCTCATATGCCTGACGGCACTCACGTCCTTTTATTTTGCAAACTCGCAAGAAGTAAGAAAAAAAAAAGAAACAACAAGAAGAGAAAAAAGCTTCTTCTGCCTTTCAACGACAAAAAACACAAAACCGTGCACGCAATGGGCGACGTACAAAGGAAGAACAAAGATAAAAGAAAGCAACACATCCACCCACAGAGTGAGGAACAAATATGTGAAGGATAAAAAATCGCTCTCAATTGCACAGGCACACATAGCAGAAGACGTAAAAGTCAAACAGTTTCGAGGGCATGTATAGGGGCAATGCCACTCGTCTCACACAACATGAAACAAGTGCGACGCACATAAAGACCTCTTCTTTCCCACTGCAACTGTTCATCAGTGAAGCGTTAAGTGTTACGCAATAGAAAAGTCTTCCCATTTTCACTGCCGCATGGCCTCCATCATGGATGACATGGCGTTAAACTGCACCCGTCGTGTCTCATCCTCGTTCACGCGCATATTCGTCATGCGGTATAGTTCATCCCACTTGGCGCCACAATTCGTGACGCACTTCTTTTCTGCAAGGTCCGCGTTCAATCGATAACGAATCGGGGCCTGAGTGGTGCGTAGCAGCGTGTACAGCTCCTCTGTGTCAAGGCAGCGATCCAGACAAAACGTCGTGCTACGGTGTAGCATGGCTGACTGGACGCGAACGGAACCCAACAACTGAAAGGCTCTCGTCGCGTCCTGTTCAAATTGTGTCATGGGAGGAGTTTGCGGCTGCATGGTATTTTCTTCGTTTGCCTCACTTTAAATATATATTTTCCCCTTCCCTTTCCCCTCCTCCCTATTCCTGTTTCTCGTTCCTTGGTTTTCTATTCCCCACCGTGCAAAAAATGTGGTATGCCCACACATTCACACACGGCAAAGAACATGTGCGTAGAAAATGGGGCAGGGTTGACAAAGAGGCCCAGACGGAAGAAGCAACAAGGACGAACTAAAAACAGTCATTATTACCTTGCATCATCGAATTAGCACACACTCACTCAAAGAAGGCGTGAACTTACAAGAAGCAGGATCCCACACCACTCTGCCTTCATAGGCCATCCCATGTAGGGTCTTCTGCACTCATCCACCCAAGCTTTCTTCTCGGGTTCAGTGCCGCAAGTTGCAGAGAAGTTAAATGAAGAATAAGAACGGATCAAAACTCATCTTCCACCGGTTACAGAAAGGCACTTCCTCCACCAGATCACGCACCAACCACTTTCCCCTTCTCTCCTTTCTTCTCTGCTGGAGACCACACCATCGGCCTTGTGCAGTTTCGAGAGTGTGTGTGCTGCCGAAGCGTCCGGGATTGATCCCTCTTTAAATTTTGTTTCAAAGAATAGGGAAAGGGATGAAGAAGGGGGAAGCATGCGTACACACACACGGGCACACATACAAATAAAATTTTAAAAAGTTCCCTTCTCAAGTCAATTTATTTCTTCATTCCCTATTCAACTCATTCCCACTCATCATTTCATCAAGTATCCTCATCATCTCCTTAGCTCTCTTGTTTCCCACGCATTCAACCCCTGACACAAATCTCTCTTACTCGTTCCTCCTCCTCCCACATACCCTTCACAACCAGCCGCGTGTGCCTGGGTATACACATTATAGCACATCCACCTGCATTTATTGAGCTTATGCATCCCCCAATATGGAGTTTACACAGTCTCCTGTCTTACCTGTTTCGTTACTTTTCTCCCGTTTAATTCGTTACTAATCCCGTACTCCATGATACCATCATCCCCTGGCGTTTCTCCTTTGCTTAACTATGCGCTTCCTCCGCCCGTCACCCGTCGTTGTGGCTGTTTCCCATGACGACACAAACAACAAACGCGTCTCTGAGAAAGACACTTACACCCTACTCCACGAGGAAGGCCGCCCGCCTCGATCCCTACGTATATCTCGGAAGAGCAACTGTCATCCACCGGAAAGGGTTAAGACCCAAGGGCAAGTCACCGACGCACACCGAAAAAAAAAAAAAAGCCACAGAAACCACAGAAACCCAACTCACCCACCTATTCCCCCTCCTCCCAACCCCTTCAAAAACTAGAAAAACGAAACAAAAAAACATCGCTGCCCACACAACACCAAATATCTTTCAATTAGGGGAAAGCAGTCGGCTGTCCCACACATCTACCAAAAAGGGCTGTAGGGGTCGCAGCAATGGTACGCGTACCGACAGCGGTGGGATGAGTGCGTGCAAGATGGCGTGTCGATGACAATGCAAAGAAGTAAAAAAGACAAAAATACGGGACGAGCACATGTGGGATTAAAAAAAAAATCCTTGGACCAACAAGGAGGGGAATAAAAAGAAACAAACAGACTGCAAACCATACAACTAAATGTTTTAAAAAAAGATAAAAACAAATTACACCGGACCCTCGCCCACACATATTGAACAACGCAACGCTGGCATTGCTGGTGCGTGGGACGCAAATAACGTACTCAGCAAGAGAACCATAAAAAGACAGCAATGCATAATCCACATACAGATATGCAAAAAAAAGGCTTTTTTTTACAGTTTTGCCTGTGCAGATTTGTTTGACTTTATATCCCCCTTCAATGTGGGTTGCATCCCGCATTATTATTCTTTTTGAGTTTCCTTTCAACCATCACCAGAGTCCTCCGAGTGCAGCGCTCACCAAACACATGCGCACGCACACACTTGTAAAAAAAAAAAAACGTTTTCTGATTCTATTACCCTTTTTTCCTCCTACAATGAATTTTGCTTTTTCCCTCCTTTTCTTCCCCTAGCCCCACCCCCTTCTGTTCAACAGTGCGAAAAAACGCGGTGTGAGAGGCGGACCGCAACGTAGCAAACCAAAAACCACGACACGAGTCCAAGGTTATTGAGTTCATTCTCCCCCGTATTGGCCACAGTCATCATAGCGGCATCCATCCCCCTAATGTCAGAAAGTGCAGAGCTACTGACGCTCATGTTATTCCCTCGTGTAAGCAAACACTCACCGCTGGACCCTTCCACAGCATCGTCAGGGACATCGCCAGGGCTTGCTGGGCTCCACAGCAATGGGCCAAGTAGCACGGTCATCGCCACCCTGTCTACCCACTTCATGGGGGACGGCCAACAGTGACTAAAAGAGTGTGACACGACGACAACAGCACGACGGTTCCCGTACATGCACAGAACTGGGATCATGAACCCAAATGATATAAGCAAGCCTATTATAGTGGGAAGACTGTAGTTTGAAATGGCGCAGCAATGCTTGAAAAATGACACTTGATGCGCACTAGTGCCTGTTTTATCTGTTTTTCGACAAAGAGCGAGGGAACAGCGCTGCTTGCGTGTCAGTGCGAGTTGTTTCATGAGTAGCTGAACATTGCGGGTAATCTTGCCATGAATGTGCAATTGATCAGTGGTGTTGAATCTCTCTGCCTCTTCCCTCAGTTGCGCGATTTGTTTCTCCAGCTTACTCTCTTCTGGGTAAAATAGATGTGGAACCAAACGCCACCAGCGCAACGAGCTCAGGTATGACACTAGAGTGCATACAGCAATCACCAACGCCAGCACACTGTCTTCCAAACTGGAGCACATGGACTGCATCTACTATACAGTGGAGTGAGCAAGAGTAGTTGTACTAGCCCCTAGCAGCGGTGCGCCACGTGCACAAGGAGCGAACACACACTGCCAACTCTCTCAACTATCGGTAAGCTGGCGAAGAGGTTTGCAAGTGCAGTTAAACACACACGCATGCCAAAAAATAAAAAACAGGGCACAAGTAGTGAATAAACAACGAAAGCACCACACACCACACATGATTGTACAAACGAAGAAAGACACAAGCACACACAAAAAGCACAATAGAAAGTCACAAGACGAATAATCTTATCATATATGTACTTGTTTAAATAAAACTCACAAAAACACTATCATCATAATGAAGTGTAGACTTCGATTGCATGGCACGGCGCCCACATAATCACACACTCCTTTCCCCACTCACCTTATGCCTCCCAATTGCTGGTTTTCTTCTTCCTTCTGCATATTTTCCTTCTTTTATGTGGCAGTAAGGACTTTTTTTTCGTTCCCTTCATCCCTCTGTTTACTCCCCCTTCTTCTATGTATCGGACTCTATCACCAGAGACACTGGTATGCTGCAGAAGTGCACCAGCGGCAAACACTGAAGAACACACAGATAAACACAAAACCAAAGGAGAAAGAAAAGAGAAAGAAAAAGAAACGCCAAGATCGTCCCCTATTATTATCATTATTTAGTTTCTGCTTGTCGTTGCTTACGTTATCTCCTCCGCTTCTTGACATCTCCTTCGTCCTGTCATTCATCGTCCGTTCCGAATGTAAACAAAACTAGAAGACAAAAAAATAAGGAAAAAACAAGAGTGGGACACACGCATGCATAGGTGTCTCAAGATATCTGTCATGTATATCTCTTTACAACACGCCGGAAGAGACACCCACCAACTCTGTGTACAACAAAAAAGAGAAATACTATAGGAGATACGCAATGCCGCTGTCGTAGAACACAAGCTCACGCTGATGGAAGCTGCGTAGAATTGCTTCTACAGTTTCCATGGCGCATGGCTTGCGATATCCCATCTGAGCTAATTTTTTCACCACCACAGCAGACGTCACAGGATCGTATAACTGAACCACCGACGCCACTTTCTTCTCCAATTGCGTCATCGTCCATTCCTCTTCTTCATCATCATCGTTGTTCTTCGGTGTCGCCATCGCCTGGTGGACAGCAGCTGCACTAGCGAAAACATTGCCATTGTGCCGCACTTCCAACTCCAATTCGCCTTCCCCCTCCGCCGGTGCGTCTTCCTCTTCCTCCATGAAAGTTTTGTTTCGTGCCTCCGCTGCTGCATCCAAAGTAAATTTGCGTCGCCGTGTCCGCGAAGTGCCGTCTATAGTGGAAGCAATGCCGTCCCCACTAGTTGGCATGGTACGAGCATTCTTCCTGTGGTTGTCCCCACTTTTGTCGTCGCTGCTGAGAGCGGCGATATTCACCTTACCTGTGGTGTCTGGCGGCGGCGCAGCAGTTGCTGTCGCCCCTGCCGCCCTGCTCCTTCTTGCACCTGAAATTGCCTGAGATGTGGAACCCGTTGAACACAGTTTCCGAACCATCTGTTCGTCGCGCTTCAGCTGTGCCTGCAAGTTGTGAGAGCTTGAAACACGCTTGCCAAGCTTCTCACAGTGTGTGTAGTAAAAGCTAGCGAGAGTGCTGTAGAACGTCATTTTACTGCGGCTCTTAGGGGGCGGAATACCCAGCATGACGCACAACACCCGTAGAGCTTCAATATGAAGCTCAAGAAGACTTAGACCCACAACCTTATCAAGTAAGGTACGGAGATATGCTGCAATGAACTCCGTGTTATCCACTTGTGAATCTTCGGCAGTGGTATGGCAGCCAGAACGATCTGTGCTAGTCTCACCACCAGAGCGAGTTTCCCCACCCTCGCCTCCCTCTGTCTTTCCTATCTTTTCCACGTCTTCAGCGTCAACCTCCCATCCTTTATCATCGTCACGGGAACGCTTCACTGCGGCAGATGTAACGAGCAGAGTCGCCTCACCGGCCTCCTCCGCCACAAGTGCCGCCTTCTTATTCCTGCGTAGTGTAGGCTGCCGTGCAGCAATGGCCTCCTCGATGGCACGCCGCCAGTGCAACTTAACCTCGTCTGTGGCAGTGTGCAGCAGACGCAGTGCCTGGCCAAAAATACCTTTTCGTATTTCGTCCTCCTCGCTACGCAAGGGTGGCTGCAAGCGCTCAAATGGATTGTTGTTGATTTGATTCTTCTCGCCATCGCTGCTGCTGGTGTTGACAGCTTCCTCAACAGACACCATCGCGGCACCGTCCGTCAATTTTTATGCAAAAGAAAAGTGGTGCGTGGTCGTCCTGCCCCTCCTAATGTGGCCTGCCCTTTCAAACGGGAGAAATTCTATCGTTGGGGAAATAGTAAAGTCCTTCCCCCCACTCCTCCCTTTGCCTCGTTCGTGTAGAGGTTGCTGCAGGTAGTGACGATGGTGATGACCCCCGCTCTCTCTCTCTCTCTCTCCCCCCCGAGAACCAAAGCGAGGGGGTCACAAAAAGAGAATGCAACGCCGCTTAAACGCTATGGCAGTGTAGTAGTCCCCAACACCGAGCGATGACGTGACCGCCAAGAGACAGAGGAGTGAGGGCAAACAGAGAGCCAGCAAAAAAGGCGCATATACATAAACACACAAAAAAGGTAAAACATGACGATAAGGACAATATGGGAGAATAGAAAGATAAATAGAAAGCTATCATCGTTTGTTAACCCGCCTTATTTTTTTTGTCACCACCGTCAGCAGGCTTGCTTAACGCCTCACTCGCCGCCCCTGCCACACCCCCACGCGCACGCCACTTCTCTTCAAAGGGCATGGTGGTGTTCTTCGTCAGTACTAATGCCTGTCGCGACGAGATTGTGTTTCCCTCAGATTCCCGTAAAACCGGCTCAAAGGCCTCACGATAGTCCTCGTAATATGCTGCCACAGAGGCACGCAGTTGTGTATAGAGCGGCGTGTACAAAACAACTAACGCGGCAATAACGAAGCAGGTCACCCACAGTACAACCCGTTTCACTCACTGCAAATGATCACTCAAATCCGCTGCCACATCTGTACCAATTTCCAGCGAAGGAAATTGAACAACCCCGGTGTCACTTAACTGTAGGACCGGTTTAGATAAAAAGTGGTAAAGTGGCTCCCAGCCGCTTCCGTAATGATACACAAGTAACCTATCTTTTGGCACCACCGCCTTCACACGCTCTTCTAGCATGTCCAAGGTGGCTGTCGAAGAAATTTTTCAAGTTGATCCTGTCATACCCATAGTCATCTTTAATACCATTTGATGTAGATGGACGCCGGCTTGCCGCTTTGCTGCCTTCTCTGTCTGTCGCAGAAATAGGTCCCAGATGGTCGCTGCATCTATCGCCCATGCCTCTTTATCCAATTCCTCAACAAGGACGACACGTGTGCTAAACGGGCACTCTTTCAAGATTGCTTCAAAAGCCACAGCACACGGCGCGCCCACCAAGGCATCAAATCCCCGACTGCTACCACTTGATTCTTTGTCACTGCCGTCAAGCATGGCAGGATTAAACGGTTTTTTTTTTATCCAGAACCATACACCACTCTTGTGGGTGCGTCGTCACGCGACCCCCCATAAACTTGTGCCAAAAGGTGTATGGAGTGTACCCAAGCTGCTGCAGCGCCCGTGTCATTGCCCCGCAACCGGGAACCATTGCCAAGCACAGCACCTTTGGCGGGGCAGGCAGCCACTGACCGCAACGCCACTTGTTGATGGTGTTGCTGTCGATGCACTCAAAGCAATGTGAAACCAGCAAGGCAACAAAAGTAAAAACGCTCCTTCTTTTTGCTGTCACATATCTCGGGAAGGAGCCACAGATGAGAAACATTAAAATAGGAACGCGTGCATACACACATACACACACGTACGAATTGACTGCTGGCGCACCGCATGTATTTTCATGAAAACTAGTTGAGGTGACAACAGCACTTTCACGGCTGAAGAAACAGCCTTCAGAAGCCGCAACAACATGTCCTTTATTTGAATTAAGCACATATTTAGTTGTTTTTGGTTTCATTTTATACGCTTTCGTTTTTGTTGGTATTTTTGTTACTTCGCCGACGCTCCTTCATCCAATGCGCCCCCAAACAAAGGAGTCTGAGAGACTCCACCAACTCCGGAAGCTCCACATCGCAAGGAACAGAAACTCGAAGGTGACATTTACGTGCATGCAAATCTTCTACGCAAAGACTCCCAATTGTGCTTTCAAATGCCTTCTTCATGGGCCCCTTAAAAAATGTATTCTCCACATCACGGATATGATGCACTTGGCGTGCGGGCATAGCAGAAAACAATGCTTGACGCGTCGCCACGCCTGCACCCAACATGTCCAAAGTCTTGTGACAGCCGTCGCTCCCACATAGAAGACGCACACCACCTGCCTCGTAATTAATATGGGTTTCGCCGCGTCGTTGCACTGCATCATTCACCGTTTGCTGCAGAAACAGAGGGGGCATTTCGCGCAACGCCTGTTGAAGTGCTTGCTGAGTCTCCTGTGACAAGAAAGCAAGCGTCTTCGAAAAATTTGTGTTCTCTGTGTCAAATGTAGAAAATGTCTGTCGACGTGCCCTTTCAAGCTGCACAGGGTAAAGAAGGGGCCACAAGGTATTCACAATAGGCAGCAACGCTGTAGAACAAGGAGAAAACACATCGCCTTGCTGCTTCACTTGTTGCTTGGCACAAGCAAATACCTCCGCGTAGGCATGTTTCCATGCCTGAATGGACGCAGGATTAGCGCATGGCATTGTGCACAAGTACCGCGCATGCGTTCGCCGTGCAATATCCCCCAACAACTGCCAATATAACGAGCCTTTCCCCAGCTTCCGCCCCACTGCAACATCATCCTTACCCTTCTCCTCGTGCATGACGCCAACACCATGTTGCACGTGTATTGCCCTCTTCGTCTGCAGTTGACTTTCGTGTTTGGGTGCACGCTCCTCGGTTATCTGTTGAAGAAACTCGGTCAGCATCAATGCATCCTGCTCAATGCTACCACCATTCACTTCACTTTTCGCTGCATCCAGGAAAGACTGGTGCTGAGCCAAAAATAAATCAGAAAATTCTTTTGAGGGTGCCGAAAGAGTTAATAGCTCCTGCCCTTTACCTTCTTGAGAGGTTTGCAATGTTGGTTGTTTATTGCCATGATGCACTGGCGCTGCTGCTTCGTTTCTTGTGGGTTGTTGAAATTCCAGAGGACGATCCTGCTTGGGACACGCACCCATCCGCGCCTGAACTCGCCTCAGGGAAGAAGTGGCGTGGCACACACCTTTGCTACCGTCACCAGCCTGGTGTAGGATAGAGAGCGACCGCAATGAGGCGTAGAGATCCACGGAGAGTCCAACAGAAAAACGGTCAAGGAATCCCTTCCGCAAAATCCATGGAAATAACGCTTTCCATGGGATGGATGTTGACCTTGGAAGGCAAAGATGATCCTCCGTACCGTGCAGCAGCGTTGTCCAGCCCCCCACCGCAGCATGCAATGAAGATTGCGCCGTCTCCTTGCAACCCATCTCTGCCGTGGGTCTTAACACCGCCGTGCAGGAGGAAGGGGGCAACTCCAGCTGCACATTTTTCCACCCCACGCGATGAAGCATGTCAAACATGTCACTAACGCATGATAACGGCGGTGCGTTGAAGGCTGTAATGGGAAAAAGCAAGCAAACCGGAGTCATTGGAAGCAGATGCAGCGCCACTTCACGCAAAAAAGAACACGCCAATTGGGACTCCTCGTCTGTCCACGATTCTCCTGCAGAGAAAGAGGCGCAACACCTCAAGGTGACGTAGTCCAACTGGAGGGTCGCATCGTCACAAGCATGAAGCACCGTCTCCACAGTTTCCACTGTGCGCCGCACATGGCCTTGCATCTCGTGGCGCCCTGAAGCGGCCACGGAAGCCAACGGCGGAAGGCAAAGCTCCAACCCAACCGTGCCATTCTCGCTATGTGTGAGCACCTTTTCCAAGACTGGGACTGTGCCTTGTCGAGGTTTTGTGGAAGAGGCCCGCCGCCAACTACTCAACGCAGTGCGGAATGCATAAACCCTCCAGGGGCGCATCCCAACGCATTCAAGACAAATGACACGCCTTTTACACCACAATGTTTTCGCCTCTCTCACTCCCTGCTCCTTCTACGCCTCCCCTTTTTTGCCTACCCGCGAGAGTATGTCGTTCTTCCCTTTACACCTTGCACCTCATCTTTGCCTCGCAATGGTTGATAGTGGCGCCAGGAGTGAAGAGAAGGTTGAGAGCAAAGGTCCAAAAAAAAAATAATAATAATAATAATAAGCAACGACAATCCCACAAACACGTCGCAGTCCGTGTTGGTAACGTTCACTACGCTCCCACCTGAGGTGGGGACGGGGAAAAAAAGAAGAGGGAAGAGGAGAGTGATTAAAATAGAACAATGATTGCGGCATATGGTGATAATTGCAATAACCTTCTTGTTTCTATTCTTGCTTTTCGTCCACCACTTAGGGGTAGACAAGGCAATGACAGGGCCAATGCCCAATAACTGTAACAGGAGCAATATATGTTAGGCGGAATCAAGTTTTCGTGGCGAGTGTCCCCTCATCACATGCAGACCCCCAGAAACCACCTGTGGCCTGGACTCCTTTAGTTGCTTAGCAAACTCGTAACGTGCCTTCAGCGCCGCCATGCGACGTTGCGTGGGACTGACTTTCTCCTTTCCCTGTTGGTTTGCATCGTCCATGTTAGCTACAGGATGTGCAGATGTCGCGAAGGTTCGCGCCTCCGCACCGATACCGCCCGAGGCCAACAACTGTTCCCGAAGGGCCTTTCCATCGATAGCGGCACCCTTCTCCACACTCCCCGCACCTCTTTCAGAGGCGTGAAGCTGGCGATTCAGTCGATCAAGCCACTTGTCAGCAGATCCGCAGAATGCCGTCACCCCATCGTTTAATGTGCTAGATGATGACAGTATTGATGACGATGATGGTAACAGTGTTCGTTCGTCCGTGGCCCCCTCCTCCCTTTGCTTCGCCTCTGCGTACTCAGTCAGGCCAACCGCATCGCTAAGGCACCGCATTTGTGCCACCTCCACAGTGGCGAACATCACTTCAATACGGTAATCCTTTGAGACGCGTGTAGCGTACTCAAAGGTGTGAAACGGCTGATGAGTCCATTTGTAACCCATCTTGTATTCACCAAGGCAAGGCTGCTCTACCACGACTAGACTTCGTGGGCTCATGTACAGTCGCGGAAACCACGGGTTATCTAGGTGTTGAAGATGCATAATCGTTGTGGAAACAAGATTTAATATGCCCACATACGGGCCAATTGTCGCCGGCTTCTTGTGAATTGGATACCCAGAAAAATTCCCAATCATTTCACTAACCTGGCAAATGTTGGGTATAGTGGGGATAAGGCCAAGGTGGAAGAATTGCCCCAGGACCCGCTGCAGTGCTGGAGCACGGTTCATAGCAAAGGCCAAGGTGTCCTTTCCGGGTATCCCTAATTCCTTTTCGTAAAGGTTAACACAATAACGCGTTTCTTCAGCAATATACGCAGCACGGTTATCCTGAAGCAAATGCAACAACTCATCGGAAATAAGCGCCTCGTCCTCGCATGTGATTACGCCTTGATAACTCGTAAGTCCAGCCACAAACATTTTTCGCATGCCGTAGGTTGAACGGGGCTGGCCGATACTCTCATAGTTAGGCTCCAGCAGGTTTTCATCAAACACACTAGTGTAGGAACCCTCATCCTGCTTGCGCTGCCTTCGTTTGTCGTCAATCACTCCAGTGTCACCCTCCTCATTTATTGACGTAGCATGTGTCTTCCCCATAACATTTCGCCCTCCGCCCTGTTGCCGCCGTCGTGCCATCGTCCAGGAGTTGTTTCGCTTCCGCGAGTCAAGCTCCTCCCGGGCCAAGACGGAGTTGTAGAGAGCGGAATCCCTTGGAATCGTCATCGAATCTGTTTGCCCGTGGTACTCGTCTGCAGACATCCCTCCTAAGTCAACATCTTCCTCGCCACCGTCGGTAAACTCTACCACAGATGCAGCGTTTCGTTCTAGTGCCGCCTGCAACATTTTCCGCCGGTCCTCCTTGGACACCCGCGCCGCCTCATAGCCGTGCTCGTCAATGCCATCATACAGGCCATAACGCTTCGGCACGGGCGAGAGCCACTCCCCGGGTACACCACGGCGACACATACCCGCCTCCTCCTGTTCTTGGTGTAGTCGGTACTTCTCGCGCTGCGATAACTTATGTGTGAGGCCGCCTTGAGGGCAAAACGACGCGGAGGAGCAGTGTTCTTGTTGTGGTTGGAAGGGTTTCTTGCCATCGCCGCTCAAGCGTGATTTCTGCCCCTCCTTCATAACAAACTGTCGTTTCCGTCGTGGCGGCACAACAGTGCCTGCTGCAACTGTATGCCCCCATTTCAAAAAACAGAGGCGATTGGGACGCATGTGTTTACCCACCCCCTCCTCCCTTTTGGCCTAGACAACAAGAACAGCAAACCCATGCACGCACGCACAGATATATATATATATATATATATAACGGCAAAAAGAAGCGACGCAGCATTCACAGAAATAAAAATAAAATAAAATAAAATCAATAAGTAAGAGAATAATCCCACAGTCACCATGACCATGAAGAAGTAAACACAAATACTCGTGGAGCAAACTTAAACAGTCACCCTGAAAATGGCACGAGGACGATGAAGACGAGGCGTGGAAGTGAGACAAAGAGATGGGAAGGAAGAGGGTGAACACAAGTTATAAAGTCTACTCACACACAGAAAACCCGTCAATGAGGCACACACACGCAGGCATGTATATTATACCTACACCCCAAAGTTAAACTTCACCTACCTGATGTATTCAGGTGGAGTCATGTGGAAGGGTGCGGTGTTGTGACCCCAAACTCGTCGGCCCCACAACGGAGGAAAAAATTTACCACTTCTTCCTCTCCCTCAGCATCATTATCATCATCATCTGTCAAACGATACGCTTCCAGCACTCCCTTCTCGCGCCTTTGCACTGGTGACATGGAACTGCGAAGCTGTAGTCGCCTCAGCGCTCCCATTTCGCGAAGTGCATCTTTGAGATTTGTCACCCGCTGGCGAACTCCAGTCGGATGGGAAAAAGACATCTGCCGTGATGGCAATACAACTCCCAATGGAAAGGAGGATTTGTTGCCGTGCACAGTGGCCGCATCTGTGCCTTCCCTTGGCAGCGACTCTGCCGCTGAAGTAAAAATAAAAACGTAGTATTGAGCATTCCGCAGCGGTATCCAGTGGGCATCACTGAGCAACACGTCAAGAACAATGCTGCCCAACAAATGCGCCGCCTCGTTTGTTCCAACTGCAGAATCATCACCACCATCATGGTAGCCTGCAGTGCACCTATCAGGCACCGCCCTCTCCTCCTTCTGGTGTTGGTTCGCTGACGGCATCAGGTGCTCAAGGCGCATCAAATGCCACTCGCTAAGGGCGTTGGCGTCAGCACCACCACCAACAACACACGAGGGAGACAACGAAGAAGAAGGGGCACCATTCTGTTCTCGCCATTTCAAAACTGAGCTCCTGCCCAGTCCATTCATGACTAACAAGCAACACAGGCTCGTAAGTAACCGCGGGGTAATAAATGACAGAGACTCTCCGCCAGACCGGGATTCTCCACGTGACTGCTGACACAACGCAAGCAAACATGTCACAATCAACTCCACATCAGGACAGCTATGCACAAGAATAAGGCAGATGCGCTCCAAAAGGGAGGGAGGAAAGACCTTGAGAGCCGATGCCTGCATACGAAAGCAACGTTGCACCACACGCCAGTGACGCGCCGTATCAACGAGGGTCGGCAGATTTGCCCCGCTGTCTTCCTCAGAAGCGTCCTCATCTCCAACCTCATCTGTACATCCTTCGCACATGCCGTTCATCGCCCCCTCCCCCACCTTCTTCCTACTGTTCTTGTCTATCACCCATGATAGCAATTCCAGCAGGGAGATGTAAATATGTCTTGCTGAAGCCGGATTCCATTCCAACTCGTTACGAAGAGCTGACAGTGCAGTACTTGCACTATCCATCAAGTCCGCAACGACACGGTGCATATGCGATGAGACACAAACAATGCGCCTGTAGTCATCTGGAATGGTGAGGGAAAGCGTCGTCAAATGGGAAAGAACCATTTCCAACAGCGAACGACCGTCCGTGCGAAAAATGACCGAACGATGCTGGGCAATGACCTGCCACGCCAAAGAACCGCTCCCGAAGGAGTAATGGTTTGACGACCCTGTCTCCCTCTTGCCCCTGCCACCGCCCCAAAGCACACCAAAAAGCAGACGCTCTACGGCAGCCTCCTCTGTTAGTTGCTCTAGAAACGTCTGATGTCCACCCACGAGCGCCTCAATCCCTCGCGTCCCACTGCGCGAGAGATACGTGGTGCAACACCGTCGCAAAAAGATAGCTACGCTTGGATGACAGTAAGGAAGAATATCTTCCTCTATGCAGGTAAGCAGCGGAAAGGAACGGCTTTCGCCCACATTATCTACTGCTTCAGCAGCAGACACTGGGGATTCCCCGAACGATGACAAGAGCGACACAAGACGCAAAAAAAGATACATAGACGGTTGTGAGGCTTCCGCAAGAATTCCACCGCAACTTCGACGTTCTTGTGAGCTTAATTCGTCAAGTGAAGACGCGGGGCGCAACATGAGCAACGACGTATGCTCACGGAAGATCTCAACAATGTTCAATCGGGCGGCCTCAATCTCATCTATGGCATCCGCGGCGTAGCTTTTGACTTCCTCCGACGTCACAAACACAGGAATGCTGTGTTGTGAGACAGAAAGGCTTAACGCGTGGCCAAATAGTTCTCGGTGTTTCCAATGAAGCTGCTTCTGCTGAGCATGCACCTCTGCATCTGTACTGGGGTTAGCGTCCGCAGAGACTTCGCGCGCAACGCCATTTAAGCGAACACTGTGCGCAGTGACAAGGCGAGCCCGCAAACGTCTGGACGCACGAGGAATATCGCTTACAGCCTGAGGCCACACAAACTCGTTATGGATGCTGCTCCCACTACCTTGTGTTTCCCGCTCTGACAGACACTCAAGACGCCAACGGCATAATGCCTCTTCCTTTCCATAAAAGGTCAAACGACGCGTTCCTAAAGAAGAAACTGCTGCCTCTTCCAGTGCCGCAAAAGAAAGTAAAGTAGTGACTGTGTTTCCGGCGTGAAAAACATGTGGAAACTGTTGAATCAGTCTAGTATGAATTTGGCGCCAAAGTGCCGCTGTATTTCCGGGACGACGAACCGGCGAGGCGTGAAATACGCCTGCCTCTTCATAACAACGAAGCACAGTTGTAAAGAGCAGCTTGCTCCAACCTGGCACCGCCGATGGCTTTGATGTTTCCCCATCCTGCTTCGTCGTCGCTGTGAGACTAGCCTGAGTCGAATAAATTAGTTGCGGGCAAGATGCCCTCTGGATGAATGCTGTGTATTCGTCACGGACGGAACGTACAAAACGATCGTACCTCGCCCCACCACCTTGCTCCCGCAAAAATGCCTCTGCATGACGTTCCAACACCGCCGCTGCAGCCATCGCCCCAATAAGTACAAGCCAATCCTCGTATTTCTCCTGATACACATGGAAATACAAATCGTTACGGCAAGTAGAGGGCTCCGTGTTGTGACCACTTCCATCCATGTTACCGGCGCGGGAGCCACAACACGCCACATACACTCCCTGGTAAATCAGTTCTTTTAAAACAAATTCGTCTTCCAGGGCAGGGATGCCAAGGCACAACGCCACCTTCAACACTCGTGTGAACAAGGGAGACGAGACCATGTATTTCTTGTAGGGGATTTGTGCCAGAAGCCTGGCGATCATGCTCCACTGTAGAGGGGAGACGTCCCCCTCTGCCCTGATGTCCTCAAGCATTGAGACCACCTCGTTCTCGAGGTTTGGCCCCAGCTCAATCGGAAACAGGTGTGGGTTATGGCGCCACCAGCGACGAAAAAGTTCCACGGCCATGTAGTCCTGTCCCTGACGCAGCAGTGTTTCAAAGGCGAGATGAAACGCGTACGCGGAGGATCGCATTGTTTCTTTCAAGACAAGACGCAAAGGCTCCAATGTGGACCTCGCCTCCCCGCTCAACTCGTCACCGCCGCCAAGAACGTATGACATCAACGCTTCTTTTGCTGCTTTCTGTGGTCCATTTCGCAATGATTCCCTTTCCCATTGCAACTTATCCTCCATCTCTTGTAACTGTGATGCGTCATGCAGTGTTTTAGCTTCCGTCATCATCGCATCTGCCATAGCTCGCGTGCTTTGCTGCTGAACCGCGCGCATGGATTGACGCACGAGCCGAGCAATCTCAGAAGGTGCCACATGTCTTTCTCCGCCCCTACAATTCGCTCCCTTATCCTCGCGTATGCCCTTCCGCAGGGAAGTGGATTCATCCCCATCATATTGGCGGCGGCCAATGTCGTCTCTTCCAGTTTCACCCACCTTGTGACGCTGGGACTTCTCCTCTTCATTCATAGCAAAGAGCACGGCATGTTTAAGATTCGCAATCACGTGCCAAGGCCGCAAGGAGAGGAAAGTAGAGGGAGCGGTGGCAGGCCACTTACCTCCTGTAACCGTAGTACCACCAGCAACCGGCCTCCCCTTCGCACACAAGGCATGCTGCACGAAGGCCACTCGACGGGAAGTCACATCGTCGGCCAGATCATCTTCCGTATAGCAGGTGGAAAACAACGCGGCGAAGAACGGGGTCACGTGCGACTGCCTCGGCCCAGACGTGGGCGACCCCGCCCCTCTTCGCGCCCACAACAGCGGCGCCCTTCCCAGCGTCACAAACTGCGGAGCCGACGTTACTGAGTGAAAGCGTCGACGCCCATGCTGCATGGCATCCTACTATACTCGAATAGATACAAAAAAAAATACCCATGAAGGCAACTGCACCACAATTTCGTTGAACACACACTCACCGATGCACAGACACACACACATACACGCACAAAATAAGGAAGTAAAGCAAAAAGCTCCAGTGCAATTGGGGGGAGGGTGGAACCACAACAGCAAGAAAAAGGTAATCGTAGCAGCAAGCACAGGAGCGTGGGAGAAAGAAAAAAAAAAGTAGCCGCCCCGTAAAAAGCATGCGCATCCGATCAAACTGAAAAGCAAAACAAAAAGAAGTTCCGATGGAGACAAAGAAAATAAAAGAGACGCAAACGCAACTTGTACGCACACACACACACACAAAAGAGGAAGGGGCGGTGGTGGTTTCAGGTCCACACAGCACTACAAATTTGACTCACGCAAAGAGAGACGAAGAAAAAAAACAGAAAAAAAAGATGGCAAGTGCAAAAACAAACCTTCCACGCAACCCTTTTCCCCGAGACTCTGCTCGTCTCCTTGTTGTTGTGTTGGTAGTGGTTGTTGTTGTGGTCCCATCGGCTCTGCAAGGCAATAACCGACGAGTTTCACATTCTCACAGAGCACTCAGCCTTTTCCCGCGGGGTGTCATTTATCCCTGTGAGCATACATAAAGGGATAAATCTGCACCACACTCTAGAAAGACCAATAATAAGAAGAAATCATATAAAAAGGAGAGGTAACAAAACAAGCAATATATGGAGAGAAGAGGAGATATAGAGAGATAAAACATCTGAAAGAGAGGGATGCAAAAAAACAAAAAAAAAGTGCCTCAGCGTCCCCCCGACTCAGCCGAGTCGTTAGGAGAAAACAACAACAACCAGCAGACAAGGAAAAGAAATAAAGGCAACACCAACACCACAAAAACAAAAAGGCTCACCCCATGCAATTGGTTGAGCGTGGGTGCAAAAAAAAAGCAAAAACAAAGACACAAATAAAAACGTTCTTTTTGAGGGATGTATGAAGCATTTACTTCTCCCCTCGTTTTTTTTTCCTTTTTTCCTTCTCCTCAAGCCCTGCCGACAAAGCAGGCATCCCTCGCCTTCTTTACGTGCTTACTTCCTGTAAAAACAGATATAAATGAACTGACAGACAAAGAGGAGGAGAAGGAGGGCTAAAAAAGAGTGAGTGGTCTCAAGCAAGACACATAAAAGAAAAAAAAAAACGTTATCCTTCTTCCTTTCCTACCAACACTTCTTGATCGGCCCATTTTGGCAGTCGGCTGTTCAAGGAGCATTTTTCCTCCCTTTTTTACGTGCTCTCTTTCCCCTCACTTCTGTACGCGCTCGCTTATCCAGGACTGTAAAACGAAGAAAAAAAAAACACAGCACCACATACATAAATACATGCATAGAAGAAGCCAGATTACCGGTGATTATTATTTTTATAAAAATAATGAAACCCGTGTAGAGAAAAACCCACATAGACACCTACATACGGAATCAAATGGAAGAATTGGTCAACACGCGTTCTGTTTATAACGGGCAAGTATTCACTTCTCCCTCTGTCTTCTGGTTGTTTTGAATTTGCACCCCATTCATTCTCCGCGCTTGTTTAGTAAAAAAAGGAGCAAAAAAAAAAACAGAATAACAACGAACATATTTTTTTTTATTTTATTTTATTTTTGTTTGGAGGGTGAAAGTATCATCATTGAAAGCTTTGATGACTACGTCGTAGTGGGCTTCACCACAGTACATTTTTCCGTCATGAGTTCATTCCTTCGTTTTCTTTTCGACAGTTTGAAATTTTCTTTGGGTCTGGCAACCCCAAACAAATATGCCTGAAAAACAGCACAAAGGCTCACGAGGGAACGACTTGCTTTTGTACCGCGTCACTGGTGTGCTTCACGGGGCCCACGCGCCATATTCACAAACGAGCGGTGCCCCCGCGGTTTCGCAATAACCACTGGACGAGCCAGAGTGGTAGGTAACTGTTCCTGCAAGCTTCGTCCCCCAGCATTTCCTCCTGGTAACGCTGCTGGTGTTGCTATCAAAGATTTGGTCATTGTGGTGGCGCTAGTGCCGCCATTAAGATACCTCGCAGCCTTTTTCCAGGCCGATGGCTTCACGTATCGCGTCCCCGGTGAAATAAATGGATGATTCGTGAGGAAGTGAATCGCGGAAGCCCTCTGCTCCATCTCCTGTAATACAGCGGCCCCGTCATACGAGGATGAAGCAAGAGATGCCTCTGCCTTGCTTCTCAAAGCGAAGCTATTTGTTGAATCCGCTCGAGTAAGAGAAGTATTTAAAGGCTGGTCAGGCTCAGGACTCTCCCCGCCATCTTGTATCATACGGTGGCGCTTCTGTTCAACCTGACAAAAATTCCAATATACTAGCAGTGTGTTAACATTACAAAGCCATTCCTGCAAAATGGCACGGACAATGACGAGTTGCCGGTCAGCTGGATTGTTGACAAAGTCATTCACAAGAATGGCATTGCGTCGATTCATACGAACACACAGAGGTGCATTTTCCACAATAATGTTGCGTTCCAGATGACGTCCAATACGGCGTAGATCTTTCGTATACCCGCCGTCACGGTACCAACGCACATCACGATAAATGACATCGTCGAGAATGGTGCCGTCAGGGTCTAAGCGGGCAATCACAGGCCTAGCGACCACCTCTACGCTTGCTGTCCAGATTATTATCTCCAGTCGCAACATAACACCGTCCTCTGGTGAGGTTTCAGTTGCCGATGCACTACCATTTCTGGTACTGACGCCTTTTCCACTTGCCACTCCCTGTGTGGAAGACCTTGTAACGATGGACTCCATTGATGTTTCACCCGTGTGCAGTACCGGATGGGGGTACAGAGATCTAAGGTGCCTCAACATCTCAACAGCGCCAGGACGAAGTATTGCTGGACCATTTTGACGATTGTTACACAATGTTTCATCAAGGTCAAAAACAATTGTCGCGGTACGTTCCTTTTCAGCCACTGACGCCAAACTTCGAGTAAGAAGTTGTCGAGTCGGGTACAAAAAGTTATTTGGCAGCAATCCACCTAAAGCTTCCTCAAGAGACGAATGTGCACTTCGCCTGGCAGCTGTTTTCCCATCTGAATTGGCAGCCGATGGAACTCCAGAGCCCAAACTTACAGAAGGTGCGGATGGTGCACGCGACGTAGCGGTAGGGGAATATTTTGACGCCATATCCTGCTGTTCCGCGCAATGCTTTCGTCCATTCCTCGGAACGGTTAGGGGGGGCATAACGGAGTACCGCATTGAGAGTGGCTTCTCCGGTGTATCCTCCTCCTTCATAGCAAAAGTGTTCTCAGTCATGTGGCAACTATCACCCGAGGCGTTTTTGTTATGCAGATATCCATCACTACGACTAGTAATGTCCCCTAAGTGGTCAGCAGAGCCAGGTAAAACACGCAAAGGCGTGACATGCGCAGATGCTTTTCCATGGCACACCCCATCCATCTGGAGCTCGGAGATATCATGTGTCATAATGAGCATCACACCAGATGTGTTTTTAATTTCCGATGCTTTCCGATGCAGCAAAGGTTCAGTGCTTTTGTTGTTGCTGCTGCTGCGATGGTCAACTTCGTCCTGTTCCGCTGTTACATTCGCATCAATGGATTCGCAAAGTGTAGCCCTGCTGAGTTTCGTTTTGGATACCTTTGACCGCAGCTTCTCCTTCCCCTTCCTTGGCGGTGTGCCGAACAATATACTCACTTTACCAGCATATTTATTCTTCGTAGCTTTGGCTTTCTCCCTTTTGCCACCCTTAGAGCCCTTATTTCCCTGTGTTACAGATTCTGGGTCGAAGAGCAGTGCGTGGCGTTTTTCTTCAACCACAACGTTGTTGAGGTTCACGGCAGGCCCTACCGCTCGCGGCAACGACACCCGCACTCCCTGCTTCAAAGTGTTGTATGGGAGAAATGGCCCCCCACCATATACCTCTTTCTTCGCCACAGTCGATGTCACCTCCTTTTTCTGACCGGACGCTGCTGTGTCTTGCGTCTCTTTGCAAAAACGTTTTCCCAAAGTCGGTGACGGCGCCGCAAACCTCGTCATGTATCCTGCGGTCGTCACTCAACGCGCTGCAGGACGCTCACGACACGCAATAACCAGAGCTGCAGAAGGACTATATATATATATATATATATACGAACAGTAGAGAACTGTGCCCAGACGTGTACTTCTCTGTCCGACCCCCCACCCACAGACAACTCTCTGTTTTTATTTTGTCCTTACTTCGCTCTTTCACTATGTTGTTGTTTTCAACTGCTTACACCCACACTCTGGGCTATCCCGCCGCAACACACAGCCACGCACTCTCTATCTCTGAGGCAGCGATTTATTCTTGTGGTTGCAACAAGTGAATGTGCGCAGCGTAATTTCCCTGCAAGTTCCACATAAATAAACGAAGAAGAAATAGAGAAAGAGCAGCGTGAGTGCACAAGTGAGGGGCAAACAATGTACGCATCAAAAGAAAGAGCATACACAACAGCTCCCTACCTCATCCGCGTACAAACAAAAACACATGAAGAGAGCAACAATACATTTGCTTTTTGCTGAAAGCATCTTCATCCATGGCAACGCGCGCGTTACCCCACATACCCGCCACGCGTGAAGACAAGCCAAACCAATGCTACTTTCATCTCTTACTCCCACACATATGCATACACTCACGCACGCACCATCTCGTTATGTGTGTCTTCCTCTTACCTCTTCTCTCCCATACCAGTTTCAGCTGTTCATCTTATACTTACCTCATTGTGCTCCAATTCGTTAGCCTGCTCCTCTGCGGCTGCCAACGCAGAGGTGCAAAAACGGAAAAAAAAGAGAAGGTAAAAATAGGGTTAGGGTAGGATAACTGAAATAAAATGTACTCATGAAAGCACGAACGTACACAAAAAAAAAATGCACTTATGCGCATATGAAAAGATTGACACGTAAATTGTATAGCTGCGGAGCGCCATACGGCACATGAAGAAGTGAGATTTACAGCCAAAGCACAAGCAAAAGAAGGGTGTGTGTGTGTGTGCGTAAGAAACAGCAAGAAAAAGAAAAAGAATATGCGTGTGCACGAGGTCTTGCCCCTCCTATTTCTACCAAGAAAAAAAGCACCACAATGCGAGATGTCACTTGGGCTCGCTGCGCCCAAGCATCCCCCACTCAAAAGATGCGATTCGTATTCAACCCTCATACACTAATAAACAAACTAATCCACAAACAAAATAAAAAAAAAACACACGGCGATGATGACCGGCTGGCGTTGCGTGTTGATCAAGTGGCAGCCTTTACGGTGCTCCACAACCGCCAAACTCCTCTGCGTGGAAGTTAGTGCGGGGCTGGTGGGACGACACGAAAGAGCTGCACTCGTGCTGCCTTCTCCAACGCGGCATCTTTGAAAAAAAAAAAAAAGAAGGGAAGATAAAACGAAGGGAAGCTAAACAAGACACGCCACCATCCTCTTATCCATCCTCATCCGGTCGCAAATTCTTTCCACAAGCTTCTACGAAAGGAACGTAAGAAGTCAAAGCAAAAAAGTGTCGCACAAAAACACACACTCAGAAAGAAAAGTACAAAAAAAAAGTCAGAAAGCCACACCAGCATGTGAACAAAAGCGATATTAAAAGGAAAGGAGACAAACAAAGCAAACACGCAGGGAAAATGTATTAAAAAGACAAAAGTGTAAAGGGGGAGGTAACAAGAGCATTCTCATCTCCTCCCACACTTATCCCCCACCAATCGCTGTCCTACCTTTCTCTGCTCTATTCCTCGCTCTGCCTTTGGCCTTCACAGACTCAAAAAAAAAAAGGGGGGCGGGGAGGAATACAACTTGCGTTTGCCCCATCACCGTGGCATCAGCATCGACACATGTAAACATCAACATGCGTACGCACACGTGATCGGTTTGCCTCGTCGATTGTGGCGTCATTCTCTTATTGATGGTTTGGGGTTCTTTTTTTTCGGTGCTTTTTGAATGTGTTTTTTTTTATTTATTATTTTTTTTATTTTTATTTTTGGTTTCGGTTGAGAGGGCGTCGTTTTGTGAAATAACGAATGGGTAAAAAAAAAAAACGGTCAACCTTTGACGTGTGCTCGGTAAGAAAAAAAGTGAGAGGTGATATTGATATATACCGCAATGACAATAAACGACAGCACTTGTTTCACACCCCATCACTTTAGTCTATTTCGTTCTCTGTCACCGTAAGAGACGGAGTGGGTGACGCTTGCAATCGGCACCGGCGTTCACATCCCTCTCAACACCCCTCCGTCTGTCTGCCTGTGTGTGCATGCGTTTCTTATCCCTGCCTCGTGCCTCCGCCGCGCCCCGATCGCTCACGCACACCACCATCGCGACTGTACCACACCACAATACGCGCAAAGAGAGACGAGGGGGCGATGCACAGCCTGCAAGAAGGTGAGACGCATGTGACACACAAACTAAAACAAACAAAAAACACTCCGGGGAACCAAGCCAAAAAAAAAAAAAATTAAACTGTGTTGAAGTAAACAACAGCGCGAGACGCACAATGTAAAGAATGTGTTGGAACGAGGTGGTACCTCAGCCCCCACCTCATCCCACTTCCCCATCACTCCTCATACACACACAACAGGGACTCCGAAGAGCGATACCCCGCATGTGTGCCTCTTTGAGGCACACAGGCAAAGGAAAGCAGAGAAAGCGACAAAAGTGAGTTATAAAAAGGCAACAACAACACACATACACACACAATACAGTAAAATTTTTGTGTAAAACGCACACAAAAAGAAAGAAAAAAACGACAAATTGGAGATTGAGCACAACGCAGATCAACAACTGGCATACTTAGGAGGGAATGTCCTCCACATTCCTTCCTTATTTATCAGCGCGTTGTACATATCCTCCCATAAAGCGACTAGAATTTTTAGTAGACGGGAGGAATGCGTCATCCACACACACACAACGACATCTCTACATTCGCACGAAAACAAAAAAAAATTGAGCTGGTTTTCGTTTTCCGTATACCCAGTGGGGAGAGGAAACAAGAAAGAAACGAGGAAAAAAAATATATATGCCATTTACGGCGTCCCGTCAAGACACTCTTTTTCTTCCATTTTTCTCCTACTTTTATTATTTAATTTTCTTTTGTGTCCATCAAAACCAAGTTTTGTTGTTTGTTTGTTTGTTTGTTTGTTTGTGCATGGGTGTTCTCCTTGCTTTCCATACACCAACCAACCCGTTAAGTGGGGAAAAAAGTGGCCTGTCTTGCAGACCTACAGTGCAGCCCTATGCCGGTGGAGAGTGCGTCGGCACCGGGTGGAAACGGGTAAAAATATTTTCCCTGTCATCCTCAAAGTCATCTTCAAATTCATCATGGCCCTCCTCTTCCTCACATTCAGCGGCGTCATAGTCATCAACTTCTTTGTCGTTGTTATATAAGTCTCTTTCTTCCATGTCGGTGCCTCCGTTACCGTCAGCGTCGATGCCCAGCATATTAAGGGGGGTGCCGCGCACAACTGATCGCGTCGCACCGATTACCTCGCGTACTTGCGAAATCACATGCATCAATTTGCCACCTCTAGAATGGCTTTTAACGTGCGGCGTCACTGCTGTAGTAGCCACCTTGTTCTGCTTGGATTGGGCATCTGCGCAAGAGAACGCCAAAGCATTTGCTGCATACCCTTGCACAGTTTTATCCTGTGACGCGCGCACAGAATACGCTGCGTGTGGCAGTGCTGCGGGAAACGCTGTCCCGTTCGTGGGTCCAATACCCTTATTACCGCTGCTCCGGCTGAGGTTTGTAAAACCGTCGTACCCCACACCAGGAGGAGGTAATGTCATATCAAGTCTCTCAGGTGGAGACAATACATTCAGTGGGCGATGTGGAGGAGTTTGTTCCCTATCAAATGCATCAAACTCCAAGCGTTGAACGTCATTCCTACACGTGCTTACTTGCGACTCCTCCATACCGTGCCTCCCTCGCTCCAAAGGTGTGCCACCACTACAAGCACACTCCACAAGCAAAGACCGTTTAAAAAATTCGATGGGCGACATAGTCTGTTGCTTTGGTGGTGTCCATACCATGGGTGTTAAAGCATCCTCAAATAACCTCGACATCCGCTGTAGACTTGGTGGCGTCAAAGGCTCTTCTGGTGCATGCACAACAGAAAATAGACGTTCGGTTTTGCGAAAATCCGGCAGATCTTGCATAGGTGAAGGAGAAAACGACCTTGGGGCCTCGCAAGCTTGAATTGGGGAAGGCGGAAGGTGTAGTTGTTGGTTTCCTCGAAGGCACTTTTCAGCAAATTCTGTTATAGAAGACATGGATAGTCGCTGAGAACCACGAAGTGACGACTGCATAACTCCAGGAGATAAATGGGCATTGCTCTGCGGTGTCATGTTCGCCGGTGTAAGAGACATAGGTGTCGCTGGCATGTGCAAAAGTGATAGTGGGGGAGCCTCCTCTCCTGCACATGAAGATATTGGGGTAGTGGCAGTAGATGGCAGGCCGCTGCTTCTTCCAAAAATAAACGCGCGCAACTGGGATGACATCCCGCGTCGTTTTGCCACCGACTCCATCCACTCCGCCCAGGCCTCCACCTCCTCCTCTTTGATTAGTAACGCAAAGTCAATAAGAAACAAAAAGTCCAGCTCAAGCTTATTAACCTCTTTTAACGAGAGACCAGCGGCGTTGGCAATGCGCTCATTCCATCGCCGCGAACCATCCACGTACATCTTTGTTGCGACCAAAATGGCAATAGTAATAAGGCGGTACCAGTTCGCCGTTGTTACACCAAAGTGTTCACACGCACACTGCAACGTGATGCGTGAAATATACACCAACGCCCCTATTAACGCCATAGGAGCCGCATCACCATACGCCACGTGAAGTCCAATAGATTCAATTAACTGCTGCACCACTGTAGGTGTCTTGTCTTGTTCTTGTGACTCCTCTGACAAAAGTGTGAATAGACTTCCAGTCGCTGCGCCTTCCGGTTGAGTTCCCTCTCCTCCTTTACGGTGCCTCTCACCGTGTGTAGGTTCTATAGAGTTCGACAATCCAAGCTCTTCCATCCCATTCCGCTGCTGCTGCGGCTGTTGTTGTTGTTGTTGTTGTTGCAAACACTCACTGCTATAACGACGTGGTTGCATAGAAAAGGTAAGCTGCGGCGAGGAAAATTTCGCCGGACTCGCTGAAAGGGGCTTAAAAGACTCGGATGGTTGCATATCGAAGGAACGGATGCTTGCAAAAAATGATGAGAATTGTTGTTGCTGTAAAGTGTCAGTATTTTGATGACATAAAATTCCATTCACACCTACAGGCTCATTGGCTACTCGTCGCTCACACTGAATGATAAGCTGTTGGATCGCACAGTCATAGAAAGGCGCAATGGCCGATAATAGAAAGGCCGTAGACGTGTTCTCCCCCACCATCCAACTACCCAATTCAGACCCTGACGCACTAAAATTTGTTTTCACTTCACCATCTACTGGCGTCGCAGGCTCTTCTTTACCCCACAGTAATAACTTCGAACGAGGCAATGGAACCGGGAACCCCACGTGAGGTTCCTGATCATTGGTGTGGCAGGATCGTACGTGCTGTTTGCGTCCCTTGAACATGGGGGAGGGGGTGTTGTGTTGCGGGGAGCTAGCTCCTTTCAGCGCCCGGCTGCGGATTGCCTCCACTGCGGCGGCACCAAATCCACGACGTCGGTGACACCGACGAGGGGCCCCAACAACATAAATACAATTATGCTGTTGCTGTTGTTGTTGAGTCTGGTGATGCCGAGGAGCTCCTCCATGATGCTGAACTGAATTGCAGCTAAGCGTTTTCTTAGAAGGGAAAATGTAAGCCGCCTGAAAATGGCCGTTGGGGTTGCTATAACTATTAAGATGGCTCACCATCATGTCGTGTGGTTGTTGCCGTTGTTGCTGATGCTGGCGGCACCACTCATTGCGCTCTATGAGTGCATTTCCACTCCCAATCTGATTCGGGTGACGAATGTCTTCGCTTTGGGTGGACATTACGGGGTGCATTTTGGCGGCACCTGCCCGCGCGACATCGGCACCCCCCTGCCGCTCCGCAGTCGCACTGCTATTTACTTCCCACCTAGTCAATGTGTCATCAGAAAAATTCCAGCTCGTGCTAATCGCCGGTTGACCACCAGCTGTTTCACCGCTGACGCGCATGGCAGCGGGCGCCGCCCGCGGTGTGTTGGGTACGTTGCTGACTGAGGAATCCCAATCAAGCGACGCGGCGCTTACCGACCCCGTCGCTGTCCATGCATTTGCGCCAGCCGCAGGTCTAGACCGCCGCACAGACTCAAAGAGAATACTGCGGTCAGTATCACCCATTCTACTACAAGCGCTCAGTGTTTCCGCTGGCGCCGCAGCTGCAGGAGGCTCCTGGGGATCAGAGAATGATCGGGGCACACGTGGTTTCTTACGTTGCACGTCAACAGCAGATGATGTGTGTTCCATTGGCATCTCCGTCGCAGCAGTGGCAGTCGCTGTTGTCGTCATCGTCTTCCTCAGCGCGCTCCCACCAATCTTCCTAATGTTATTGCACACCAGAAGAGAAATGACTTTCAACACTTACCTCCACAAGTCCTCGCTCTATGCGTCGGTGTCGGTTGCCCACGTCGTCCTCAGCCTCCTTTTTCTCTCCTAAACAAGCAAAGGGAAACACACACCCACACACCCAACAACAAAAAAAAAAAAAAACAGAATATTTCCGCCAACACCCACAGACAGCAGAGTGAAAGAAAGATCGATGGATGCCTCCCTAGAGGGGCAACACGTGCCCACGCAGAAACAACCTAGGTAAATCACACAGTGTTCACTACAGTAACCCAAACAATAATAAAAAGATTCTTTTCTCTTCGCTCCAACAGAAACATAACAAAAGAGCCCGGCACATGCACTAGAGCTGCTGGCCACAGCACCATTCGCCTCACGTTTGTACGCGGAACTCGCATGCAAACGCGCCCGTGCACACCCTGCAGTAGCGACACTTGAAGACCTCGGAAAGACACAGCACAAAAACACACACACAAAAAAAAAAAGGTTGCGCTCACGACGGCACACAAAAAACACTCAAGCCCACTCTGAATTCACCAACCAGCGACGCGTATTATTTTCTTTCTTCACCCTCTTCAGCTGCATTGTCTCACACTTTACACGACGCTTGGAGCGAGAGGCGAGAGGCGCTAAGAACAAAAGCCAAAAGAGAAATGAAAGAAACAAAACAAACAAGTAGAGGCGTAATTCAATAATGCAGTGCTAGTCGTCATCCTGCTCCTTTGATTCATTGAAAGATGCTGCTTGTACGCTTCGTCACCTCTTCTTCTCAACTCGTAATATGCGCGTGCACGAGGTTTTGCCCCTCCCATTTCTACCAAGAGTGAAAGCACCATAATAATTGATGACATATTAATTTGACACGACAAGCATCCCCGCCACTAAATTGCAGCTTCACTCCACAAACTAATCCAGAAATAAAATTTAACAAACACGCACGGCGATAATGACCAGCTGGCGTTGCGTGCTGATCAAGTGGCAGCCTTTACGGTGCTCCACAACCGCCAAACTCCTCTGCGTGGAAGGTAGTGCGGGGTTGGGGGGATGTCAAAATCAACAAAAATAATATGCTCTCGTGCTGTCTTCTCCAACGCAGCATCGTTGAAAAAAAAAAACGCAGACAAAAAGACAGGAAGCTAAACAAGAGTCATCATCACCCGCTTAGTTCCGTCCGGTATCTCACCCCTTCCACAATCTTCGGGCCACTCTACCACAAAATAAAACAGACAGGAATTATGAAAGTAAGTGTGCGCAAATGGAAAGAATACATTGTTGTCCAAAGGCACCGGCTTCTCGCATCTCGTGATAGGCAACTCTTTGCTACATGCTGTCAAAAGAAAAAAACACCTCCGGATGAAATGGCAATAATAATAATAAGATTCTACTGCACATAGATAAAGCGAGGAAATAAATGATTAAGGAAACACGCGAGCTTACTTGTCAAAATCATTTCCATTTTTGTTATACCCTGACTTCTTTTTGCTTGATTGGATTATTTTCCATCTAGTTGAACTTAGTGTTGCGGTTGTCACCCTTGTGTTGTTGGTTCTTTTATTTCTAGTTCCCTAAAACAGGCTATTCACGCATCAAGCATCCATGGCGCGTGACGGCTCTCTTGTTCCACCAACTGAATCAGAACGTGACATTGACGTCATCGCAGCTGAACCCACCAATGATACCATTTGCTGCAGCTCTGTCACACGTTGTTCTAGCTCAGCTTCGCGTGATTCGAACCTCTCTACTAGTTGCGCCAATGTTGACTCCGTTTGCTGAAGTCTCGCTTCTAATTGTTCAATTATCCCAACAAGAACATCCCTGTCGCCGTTCAATTGTTCTCGGTAGCTTGTTTTCGGTACCAAAGAATTCGCCTCGCAAGACGATGTAGGCAACGCTCTTTCCCCTGAGCAGGGCCCGTATTGTTTCTTTGTGGTTGATACCGCACCACTATCTATTCCCTGTGAATCAGCGGGCATACTATTTGCAGGGATGACAGCGCGGGATAAAATGCTGGAACGACGCGAGCTGATGCAACTGTGAAAAAAGGGACCAGGATCACTGGTCAATCGTGTGGTCCGCTTTTGTGCTTCTGGCATAGATGGGATCGTTAACGGTGAGAGCGTTTCCTCAATCGTCTCACCACGACACATCTGCGGAGATCTGTTGCCATGGCTACTAGCACTACATACACTGGACCGCCCGTATCTGGAAACCAGAGACGGATTCGTACGGCTCCGTAAATACGTCTCCGCCTCTTCGAGTGAAGCGTCACATTTGGAATTTGGTTCAAATTCGTGACTCCACAAGCGAAGCGAGAGACTACGATGTACGTGAGAATTGTCTACGAGAGAGGGGCGGCGGTATAAAGATGATCGTGGGGTCCCAGGCGGCCCAGTGGCTAAGGTGGAAGTAAATGGAGTGCGAACTCCCCCAGCACGAGGATTCTCCAAATGCAACGCTTCTCCGCCATGCTCAGCATCTGATGGTGGATTAAACAAGAAGGTATGCATTCGTTCCCCACATGCCTTGGAAGGGGAATCAACGTGATTCCAGTGAACCTGAACGGCAGATCCATGAAACACACAGTCCGGCTCGAAAGGATCTACAACGCTGCAGGGCCCGCTGTTTATAAAACCATCCGCGGCGTCTGCCCTTGATGCGGGCATAGGCCAACTGTCCGCACTTATCCAAGGGCTCCGGCCCATCGTAATTGATTTCGACGCTATGGACCCATTAGGTACATGCACCGAGGTGAGATGATCTGTCATTTGGGAAGTTCCATGTGCGCTTGTCATTTTTTACTTTATTTTTGATATTCCTGTTAACGAATTTCTCGTCCTGTGGATGTTTGCAAGTCACTTTCCCCCTCTTGCCTTGTCCTCTCCGTCTCCCCTCTTTTCTCCCCCCAACTACACACACCCTCACTCCCTCCTCTTCTACGTCTTCACAATTTGTGCAGCTTTCTTTTCTGTTTTGTTTAATTGTCTCGCTCTTTAAGAGTCTCTAGCGTTCGTGTTTTTTTCTCTTACAATTACGCCTTACACGTCTCGGACGCCCCTTTGCTGCTGTCGTGTTTATACGTCTGTACGCGTTGGAGCCTCCTTTTTCGTGTACGTGCAATTTTTTTTGTTCACAATTTGCTTACCTTTTGCCCTGCTTTTTATAGAACGAAGGAAGGAAAATCAACAAACGGAGTGAGCAACGGATAGAGGAGGAGACATCACCACCTGCCAAGAGGAATAACGACGCAGGGAACCGCATGGCGCCCTGGTGAACATAAAAACAACACATCATACAAGCCACATGAAAGTTGAGGTATTTTCACCCCACCCCCCACCCCCCGTTTCGTTCGTGCTCATTGAAATCACCCCACCCAAAAGCCTTCTAAGGCTCGCGCATTAAACCGCTCAGCAGCAGCTGTCATGAAGTGGCGGTCGGCGCGATGACGCTTGCGGCTCTCCTCTGCTTCATGGATACCATCCTCAGAACACACCGCCTCACGCGGCGCAGAGTCATACGGCAGGGACCGCCTTATATCGTCGCCACCACGCTCATTAATGTTGCCGTCCTCAGGCAACGATGCCACAGTCGTGGGACTCGTCGGCGCCGAGAACAACACAGTGTGCGTCATCGATGCGGAATCCCCCTCTACTGGAAACACGTCCGGGCCCATGTAGTTTTGATGGCGCTCCTGCGCAGCATGCGTCGCCACCTTCGCCCCGTCGTCAATAGAGCTATTGGTGGAAGCACTTACAGTCCCCGGAAACATTGAAGACGACTGTAACGTTGCGGCTGTCCTCTTCTCCTCGAGTTGGCGCACATAAGCCTCTAAGTGATCAATCCCCTCTTCACCTCCCGCCGCAGCATTGACCAGACCGTCATGGAATGAGGCCGTGAGAAGGTTCTTCTGACGCTTTAACGCCGCAAGGTACTGCGGCGTAACGAAGACACCAACCTCAAGATCCTTCTCCACCAGATCTGCGTTGTTGGCCTCCTCCTGCCGCTGCTTCTGAATACGCTGTAGCAACAACGCCTCCCGCGCGTCCTTCCGCAGCCGCAACGCCTCCGCCATGGAGGCATAAAAACGGCTCCCCTCCAAACGCGATTTACCTCCACCAGCCTCAATCTTAGGCACACCATGAAGCTGTGATCGACTCGCCGCCTCTCTACGACGCCGCTCCTCTGCCCGCTTACTTTCTTCCGCAGTTAGAGTAAAGCGCGAAATGCCACCACCCGCCGTCGGGTTTATAATGGTCACCGAGCTATTTGCAGCACACGGGCCATGCCGCACTGAAGCACAAAGATGTGCATCGCCTTCCCCACAATCCTCGCCACTGCACGAGGAAGATGACGAACTCCAGTTATCATCAAATAGCGACATACCGATCAAAAGAAAACAAAACAATTCCCAGCACACGCACTACAAACTAACCTAATCAAACCACCCAACGAAAAAAAAAAATACACAACCAACATACATCCCAAAACTTTTTTTTAAAAAGCAACACATTCCGCCACAACAACAACAATTACATCAGCAAGATAGGGTTACAGGGAGAGCACGTGCCTCTGACCCAACCGACAACGCCTGTGGGCCAAAAGAAGCTTGCTCTGTCGCAAGCAAAAAAAAAAAAGGACTAAGGAAGGGCTAGGTCAGAGGATATGTTGTTGTGCGTCAACCCAGTGGTCTGAAACACGGACCATATCAGCTTCATCAGTGAACACAAAATGCAGGGGATTCCTCTCAGGGGCAAATCGCTCCGCTGGGTGATTGGAACCACCGAGCGGCGTACGTGCCTCCTTCGCACACCAGACACAAGCGGCAGCAGCACCCGGAGAGAAGGGAACAGACAAACACAAGTGAAAAAAGAGAGAGAGAGAAAGAGAAAG